TGAATATTGCCAATCGATGATTTCTTGTACAGTCATTGTAAATGAATTCGCCATATTTCTAGGAAAATGAATTTGTGTATTTGAATTCAAACTATGCAGAGGTTTGTCTAATTGAAATGATTTTATGCCCGGAAAAATATATTTTCCAAGAATATTTTTGAAACCAAATGCATCGGAAAGAAATTGTTCCATTTGATCAGTTTGTGGACCACATTGACCATTCATCGGTCCATTTTTATCCATGGGAGCCAAATACATAAGGTTTTTTAATAGAGAGCCTATTTCTCTGTCAATGGATTCATTGAGACCAATTAAAAAACTTGGATATGGTTCCTCTTGGCTATGAAATTGTGAACTTTTTCTTGGTAATCCATCATCTGTTGATGAGGCACTTCGCGATATAATGGCTTCTTCTGGTTCTTCATCGGAAGAAGTGATCTTGATAGTGGTGTTCCAATCAATAGTTTGGATTAGAAGAATAGGAGGATTAGTTTCGACTTCTAATGGTTGATTAAAATCTGTTTGCAATTGCTTTAATTGATTCATCCATCGATCAATGTCAGATTCCACAAAACTTTCTAAATCTTGCTGTTCTCTCAACTCTTTTGTAATTCGATGAATATTTTGCCTTATTTGATCATATTCTGCTTTTCTATTGAATAAGCGTTCAACAGTTTCACGTACATCATTAGCTGCTTGCGTGACACGTTCGATTGTGTTAGTTTTCCATTCATCAATTTGTTTTAATAAAGCAACAGCATTATTATGACCTGGTGGTTTTAATGCAGAATCGATTACACGTTCAAGTTCTTGTAGAACATTATCACAAAGATAAGTAACATTCTGTAAACCTTTGGTAAGATTCTCACGATGTCCATTGAAATGTTTACGACACAAATGTTTCGCACAACCTTTACACGATGTAATGGCGGCAACTTGTCTTGGAGAGCACAAGTCACACATATCTTCTCCTATAGTGCTTGAGGTGCTACTTGCCATCATAAAAATTTGCGTGCTGTTTAATTTCAACAAATATTTCCGAAGAGATATTGTATTAATCTTCCCTGTTAATGAAACAAAATTTCATTTTACATAATAATCAAATGATGTTGTCATAGTTTTAATGTTTACATTATTTTAAAATCATAGTTTCTTATGAATTACCGACAGTAGTGAACAAATGTCTTTACTCCGACAGTTCTTAACTAGCATTCTTGCTGATGATTCGAAAATTTGTATTTATATATTACACGATGATTGTAGATTAGCTACGAAAGTGCTCTTGAATTGCATAAGTCGACTGAGAAATATCATGAATGGTGATGGATGGAACCTATCTTTCTTTAAACTTCATAGCTCTGTACAAGAACGCTTTTACGAGTCAGTTGATCCGTCATGATGATATCCTATGTCATAACTAATCTACGCTATTGATGTCATTGAAGTTCATAAAGTCTTTCTAAAACTATGTTCATTTGACTGTGATTATTGATGTAGAAAAAAAATCGATGTGTTACTCTTTGAAAACAATGACTTGTTAATAGTTCAATAAAAGGAAGTCAAATGTTTAGAGAAGCCTCCTCCGTAGTTGAACATAACTGTTTAGAAGTGTCAGAAAAGAAACTTGTACACAATCGAAATACTACACTTACAATCAGCGTATTGATGTCGAGGACCTAGAGATAATAATCTTCGCGTAAACACTTTTATCTTTTAAGTGAAGAAAAAGTTAGCAGTGTCAAACTTGAAAGTTGAATTCAACTATTGAAGTCATTTCAAGTATTTAAGATATTTCAAAAGAAAGAGTTTTACATCCACCATTCATAAAGATTTCGCTTCCACTATCAAGATACCTCTATACATCTGACTAATTGAATACTTGAATATTTGAAACTTGAAATTTTGAATAGTAGAATATTTGAGATTAACTTCAATAATTGAATCTAACAATCAATTATCGTATCTATCAGAAAATGACGAAAACAAAAGTTTGAAAACGGTTTCCAATAAATAGGAAAGCTTCATGCCATTTACACTTAAATAAGTGTATAGTTTTAAGTAAAACACATATTCCTATGTAAAAACTCCCATTCGACGCGGACTCAAATGCACAAAAAGATGGTAACACTTACTTATTGCTTGAACCGTTATTCCTATATTCCGCTTGAAATTCTGACTGTCAGATTAAGGGTAACTGTTTTTGGTAGAATTCTTTTTTTCAATAACAAATAACATTATTTTCGAAGAATTTAGCATATATATATATACAGTCTACGCCCATTGAAAGTATACCCTTCGAGTTTTTTGTTTTTTATTAATATACATTTTTTATGTATTAACCTACTATATATAGGAAGAAAGTCCAGAATGTGCTGCATCTTTTGGTATATTTGCATTGACCATCAAATGCAGTTTGAAGTATAAAAAGTATATCAGAAAAAAGTGACATTTTTTCTTTTACCAAATTTCGGGTATTCGTAGTGATGTAATATTTTTTATTTTGCATATATCTCGACTTAGGTAAATGATAAAACGTTGAATTTTTTTTCCAAAAGATGCACCGTGAAAAGCTCTACAAAAGCTACATGATCGAATTCTTTTTTTATCTGCGCTAGTGGTTTTTCTGATACTCACAATGAAACAACTTACATAGCAGTATCACTTCCCATCGTGTAGAAAACGTTTCGAGGACTTCTCTGATTCACTGCAGGACTTGGTCTATACTAGCTTTATAGAGATTTCGATGGCATACCTTTTTGAAAAAAAATTCCATATTCCATCATTTTCTCAAGTCGAGATATATGGCAATCAAAAGAGTCTTCCAATAGTTCCAGTATGATGGAAAGTGACACTGACATGTAATTTGTTCATTTTGAGTATCAGAAAAGTCACTAGAACAGGTAAAAAAAGAATTCAATTATGCAGCTTTTGTAGAGCTTTTCACGGCGCATCTTTTAGAAAAAAATTCAACATTTTATCATTTACCTAAGTCGGGATATATGCGAAATAAAAAATGTTACAACATTACGAACACTGTGAAAAAAAAGAAAAATTGACTTTTTCTTCTAATACACCTTTCATACTTTAAACTGCATTTGATGGTCAATGTAAATATACCAAAAGATGCAGCACACTTCGGGCTTTCTTCCTACATATAGTAGGTTGATAGATAAAAAACATATATTAATAAAAAACAAAAAGTTCGAAGGGTATACTTTCAATGGACATGGACTGTATATGCTACAGCATTACACGTAGGAGAGATAAGCAGAACATCGTGATGCTTTCATCTTCGTTGCTGTGTGGTGTGTAGATGCTATTGTCCCAGTTTGTTGCCTCTTATATGTAAAGAGAAAGAAAAATTTATCACATATATAGGGTGCCTCGAAAGCCACTGGAGAAAGTTTACGTAGATGTCTCTAATACCATTTAAGCGACTTACTTGGATGTGGAGTATGGGCGCAGGTGTAGTGTAGGTGTCGGTGCGAATTTTCTATTTTCTAACATCCATACACGCACATTCGCACACAGCCTTACACTCATCCACAGACACCTCACACTCTACACAGGAATATGTATAGAAGACTTATACCTATGTATGATCAAAACTATATCTAGTCCTATATTACAGTCAAGTTACGATTCAAATTTTTTCATTTATTTTTGAAGCTATATTAAGCAGTTGAATGTTCATTTATATTCAAACTCAAATTAGGCAGTTCATGAGTTGAACGGATGTTGTTAACAACTAGGTCATATTTAATCTGTTTTTCGGGCTTGCATATGTTCAAGTTGTGTGTGAGATAGAAAACATTGGCCTACAGTTGTACGCTTTATAGAGAGTGTTCCTGATTTTAGTGAATGTACGTTGCTGTGTAGGTGTTGATATGCGTTTGTATTTTACAAACGTTTTTCTTGAAAATTCCTGAATTTTTTCGATCTACTCAATATCTGAAACTTTTGAAGAGTTTCTGAAGATTGGTTTTCGAGTGCACGAAAGTGCTGAACTACTCATGTAACATGTAACATGCAAAAGTCATTCTTAGGGAGTCCTCCTTTGCAGGATTTCTCAAGAACTACTTGATGAAATTTTTTGAAACTTTCAGAGTAGATAGGCCTCGACGAGTAGAATAAAGGTTGTCATAGACTCAAAATTCTCAAATGCTTGCGTACGGGTATGGATGAGGATAAGGGTGTGGATGTACTAAAATAGCATCATAATCAATAAATCCTTAATAAGTAAATAAATTCCGTAGACGAAATTAGTCCCGAAAAAAATAATTTCCAGTAGCTCCTCTATTAAAAATACTAAACTGTTGCCAAAACTATATGTCTCATTTTACATTACTTCTAAAACTCTTCGAGATTCGCACACAGTAGATTATGATCTTACATCTTTTGTTATAAATCTCACCATCTCTTACCTCGACAAACGAATAAATTCTATCAAAATGTTACTTTTATTTTCAACTATTTCATTTTATCGCAATTTCACAAGCACTTTTTCAAATAGAGACTTGGTAGTTTATCTTTATTGTTATTTATAACGAAGAAAAAATGAAGATAGAATCTTTATATTTATGCAATAAAGACAGAATCTTTACATTTATGCAATAAAGATAAATATAATAAAAAATTTTATTACTAAAAGAAAAAGAAGAAAGTTAAATAAAAAAAGGAGGCGTTTTAAATGAAAAACGAATACTTTGTTTTTTCCAGATACTATAAAGAATTTTGATATCATAATTACAAAAAAGTAGATTGACAAAATTTTTTGCATACATTTAGATACTACTAATAAGAAAAATATTTGATTTATGCTGTTATATCACATACTTTTAAGTTTATTCATAATAGAGGGAGATCTTTCTTTCTTTTGTAATCTTTATTTTTTAAATAATAAAATTTTTTAATTTTTATCTTTGTTATATAAATATAAAGAATATATTTATCTTGATTTTATGACGAAAAATATCTTATTTATATTTATTTCACCAAGTAAAAATAAAATAAATCAACAGCTCTGTTATCAAAATTATAAAAGTAATTTAATACGAGCTATTGATGCGATTAATTAACATAGAAACAAGTTCGAGTTGTGTATAGCTCAGAGCGAGTTGTCTTCGATTTGTAATCGACTGCTCGTAGGTTCAAAGCTTGGTTCAAGCCGTCGTTGGAAAAATTTCCATTCTGTACCTCAGAGGATTTGAGTGTTATATCATAGTTCGTTATGGTGCGTCGGTTCGATTCCAGCACAGGATAATGGTTATTTTTTATTTATTTTTTTTGAAGAAAAGGAGACACATCAAAATGTAGGAAAACCTCAAAACGTGTCGCAATCTTTCTTCAACATAGACAAGTTTACACACATTTTGGTTTCTGAAAGCGTTCACACACCTAAAAATGTTGCATTTTGGACGCGTTCAAACGCCTCTTTTTTCTGTTAAATAAATTGTATTAGTATGATTTTCTTTTCTAGTATATATTAGATACCGAAAGAAAAAAACAAGAGTTTCAACTGAAGAAAGAAACTTTAAACATCTTAGAACTCTGAAATAAAGGTGAGTGCAGATGATCGTAGGTGAATATCTTCGCTTTATGCTCACACATGTCACACTATCACATCCACATCTTCATACTTCAAGCAAGCACACCGTAAGGATGTGAGTGTGGGGTGTGAAGTTTAAGTATGGAAGTGGATATAAGAGCAGAGAAGATATACAACCACATCCACACTCACATCCTGTTAAATAAGCAACGAACACCATTCTGTGAACAATCAACCAAGATTTTTCTGTCAACGCACAAATTTTCATGAGCTCTTAATGCGAATCATGTTATGGAACCTGAAACAATCGTTGTAGATACGACTGTATTCCATGAAGTTATTCATTGTTTTAGCTCGGTTCTAGGTGAATCTATCTCATCTTATTGTTCTAAATCCAACTTGTTTACTCTTGGCAGCAACTCGATATCTGTAATACAACTGATCACGGTGCTGAGTACTATATTCCCTGTACCAGTAGAACAAGAACTAAAACTAGATACATTATTGAATTACAAAACTGTAATGAAATTAACTAAATTGATTCTAACATTGGATAATCGCCCTACAAATGTAGAAAAATAGCAGCAATCAAAAAATTCAGTTCTTTGCGATATGGAGATTCAAGAGCCTTCTTCAGATTCTAGTATGTTTATGTTCTATAAATCGTTCTACGCTTTACAAGATGGTGATCTTTCTGGCCAAATTTTACTACTAGTATTGATATATCTTATGAACAATGATGAAATTTATTCATATCACACTCTTTCATCTCATTTATGTCCCGATCAACTAATTATGGGATTTCGATCACCAAGTTTGGACGGGATGGTTCGACAACATACATCCATTGTTGATATAGCAAAAGATTATTGAAAAAGGTTAATTGGTACGAAAAGCCCTTTCATGATATATTATCATCATTGTCGTTCTAATCGTTCAAGAGCTACTCATGTACCATTTTTGCTTGGTGGATTAGTTGCTTATGAAATGCTGTCTCAATTAATGAATGACTTCGTTCATTATACTGTTGTTGCATTGTTTCTATTGAATTTTCCTGCACCAGGAGTAATGCTCAGTCAAAATGAAAATGTACTGGATGAAGCAAATATAAAAAAAACAAATATCGAATTCAATTGATCATCGTCTCATTCGACATTTACCTGTTGACTTAAGGATAGTTATGGTTTGGGATACAAATGGTACAGGTGTTGATCTACATGTCATTGAACCGACAGATGAAAAGTGTTATTATTCTCATAAAAATACAGCTATTGGTGGTATGATAACTCGTGGTTTTATCAGTGGCTATGAACCAGAAGAGTATCTGCTTCGAAACGCAGTCAAAGGTGCATGTATGGTTCGAACAAAATATTTTGCTAATCATCAACAAAGTCTAACTGGTGCAACAACAATCATAATACATATTTATAAGTAGTTTGGTCAATCGAATCAGCAAAAAGAAATTGTTACATTACGATTAACTAGTAATCAAGAAATGATCGATGTCTGTAAAGTAGAATTTGACGATGATGTCAAACGAAAAACAAACAATAAAACAATCGATGATCAAAAATCGAATACGACTATTCATTCAAATATTATTTGTGAAAGGTGTGATATGTCACCAATAAAAGGAGATCGTTATAGATGTTTATTCTGTCCAGATATTGACTTTTGTCAATCGTGCAAATCGACTAGTGGAACAAATTATGGATCGAATTATCAGTACAATCATCTCTTATCATGCATTAAAGATTCAAGTGAATATTCAGAGTCATTTTATTTACAGAATCGTACTGATATCGATCATGCAAATATTCAATGCAATTCATGTTCTATAAAACCAATAATAGGTATTCGTTATCATTGTATTTGTGGAATAAATTTATGTGAAAAATGCGAATTTACGGGTTTACACGATCAAAGTCATCATCGTACAAAACTAACCCAGTATAATACAATTCAATTTTTGACTTGACACATGTTCACCAAAGTGACTTCTATTCAATGATTTATTTTCACTAGATATGCAAATCATTTAATTGCTTGATTTTATCTGCTTGAACAAATATACTTTTCAAAAACCTTTAAATAGAACTTGTCACCCGAATTTTCGGATGTGTGGATGTTAGGGTCCTACGTGATCAACATTTTTGGTCACGATCATGATGAACCACGAAAAAAAATTGTTCTCAATCATCTTTAGGAAAGATCATTCACTGCTTGGCAGAATGTGTGGTGAATCCTATTTTGATTGATAGGTGAAAATGTCAAAAATAAAAATATCGAAAACGGAAATCAGAGATAAAAATATGGAGCCAAGAATGAGAGCGAAATACGAGGGAATTTCTTTTTCCATATACTATTATTTTCAACATTTCCTTTTTTTTTCCATATCTCTATTATTTTCTTTTCTATATTTTCATTTTGATTAAGTCAGGATAAATTTGCTTCCTGTGTAGTACCATCATGAAAGCTGAATTGAATTGTCGCAAAGTTCGAGTTGCTTCAGCCGAATACAATTTTAGTGTAAGTGCCGTCGAAACGAACCAAACTGAATTAGCATTGTTGTTTAACAGGTTGAATCTAATCCAGATTCTGTTATCTGCTTCGATCTTTAGTGTGCTATAATCTATTAGATACGATCGGCGTTAACAAGAAAATACAGTACAGGTTGCTTCTTTTTTAGTGCCTTGTAGTGTTCATAATTGCAAAGATACACAGAGAAGCAAAATGTACAGAACATTTGCTGTTTCTGGAATATACACACTATTGTAAATTTTCTCTAGAAAGCAATGAACGATGTAGACTTATCAAATGAGATTAACACTTTTTTCTAAAACATTGAAAACTATTTTAAATTTAAAACATTCTTTCATCTACATGCAGAATGCGATCGATGGTGTAAAAACTACGCCAATATTTATTGAAATGACATGCGCACTACTTTATTTTTAATTCTGTAGTTTATGAAACTTCATTTGTGTACAATGTCCTTGGAAAAAAGATGTGTATGTTCATTTTACTCATATAAATAAAGTTTACATGTACATCTTGTTTTAGATTCCTGCTAAAAATATTGATCACGACCATGCAGGATATTAGTGAGTGTGAGTGTAGACGAAGACAAGACCCACACCCAGATCCTCGAAAAGTCGAAAACAGTGTCAAACTCGATAATGAATAAACTTGCAATCAAATGTGATCTATGACAGAAAAGGCAATGGTTTATTGAAAACGGATTTCAGACAGATCTAAAGATAGAATGCAATTAGTTACAATTAGGTACATCGCAGTGTCGATAGTATGGGGAACAAAATTCGATTAGAGAAATTTCGATAGCGAGCAATTTGTAGTCACTCAATGACGACAGATAGTCAGCGTAAAATGATGATGCGAATGGAGCGATGGATTTTTGGCACAGTCCAGGCACAGATCATAACCACTGTAGGGGGTTGTGCTTGTCGTGCTCAATTGCGTAGTTCCATATTTCATTCGTGTAGTGCTTGTTATCTCTACTTCTCGAAGATTGCGTTCATTGGTTCCAGGACGCACAAATCCACTGCACTCCATGCATCGAAATCCCATCTCACCATCGTTGAACTTGCGTTCACAGCCATCACAAAATGCTTTACCCGATAATGTATAGCCAACACGATGTGAAAACTGACTAAGAACATGTTGATCCATGCTCTGTTTACCTCTCGAACGAAAGCAACTGCAACTTGATCGCACACGTGTCACTTCTTTAAAATAAAGAAGAGTAAAGATAAGAATGAATAACTAACGAAGATCGTTAAAATATGCCCATAAAACTTCACCTCTAAACTATTTTGAAGAAAAGTTCGTTGTTCTCCAATGATTCAGAGAAGCACAAGATAAGACATGTTTCGACAGAGAAATAAAAGTCTTGTGACAATATGGTTTTTTTCCGTTTAAGAGCATAGGTGTGTGAGTGAGGATGTGGGTGGTTGTGAGTGTGGGATGTTGATGTGAGTATGAGTGTTTGTGGGTGTGAGTGCTGATCTTCGCTTCATCTACATCCCACACTGACATCCATATCTCAGGGTGTGGGTGTGGGTGTGAGTGTGGGTATGCGTGTGGAAGTGTGTTATGCATCTATTATTACATCCACACCAGCATGTGGCAGAACAAGTCAACCAAATATTACCATACATTAGAATTCTCATTGAAAAATGACAACCGAAGACTTAAATACGCTGAGATTTTGAAATGCATTCGAAAGAAAACAGCCAAAAGATAATCTGTATAACTCATTGTAGGCATCTGTTATCTGTTAACCATATGCATATACTCACAGATACACCTAGAAATGAAAAGATGCTAGGCAACTTTTCTCTCATTCTATTGTCAAAATTAATCAAGCGGCTCAGATGAAATAAGTCGGATCATAAAACGACCGTGTTTGTTGATTTTTTCGCCGTTTATCATGCACCGTATTATGATACGTTGAGAAATGGTCGGATACTGAATTTTTCGACCGTATGACGGTCGTGATTAAACGTTTTCTGTACGTCGAAATACAGTTATAATACGATGGATGGTAAAATGTCAACTTACGACAATTTACGGCTGTAAACGGCGTGAAAGGTAACATAGCGTACCGTATACAGCAGTTTACGACCGCATCGGATCGTCGTAAAGCTCGTCCTGGAACAACTTGGATAGAATTCCGAATGAAACAAAGAGAAAGACAAGCTGTACTCAAAAACCAAATACGACTGGAAAAAGAACAAGATTCATACAATGGAAGTCTTACTTTGCTCAGCTCAGTTGACTGCTACAAAAATGGAACAGACAAAATGTGACAAGTTGATGTCGCGTTTTGCATCTTTTATAAAATATTGCTCTCTGTTAGTGGTTATTTTTTCATCCTACACAAGTAGTTTTCGATTCATAAAAGAGAAACATAAACGAACGACATGCGCAATTTACTACTTCCAATAGTGAATGTAAACAAACCTTTAAGGCCAGCAGTGTGCTGTGCAAAACAAAAATTGACTCATTCCGCCGTTTTATTTTCATTGTGAATGTTTATCGAAGAAAAAATATCCATGAAAAAGAAAAAATTACTTTTTCTCATGGCAGTGATGGGTTTATACCCACAATTCTTATAACGAATAGTATGAAATAATGCACATAATAGGCCAAATTTCACTCGAAATGATTGCCCATGATGCATGTTGGGACTTAATGAGTAGTTGATATTTTCGAGACTGTAGAGTTTATGGCGTAAGGTGTGTACGTGTATAAAACTATCATGATGTCGACATTACATCTCAGCAATGAGAATCTGCAGATGGGTGCGGGTGTGAATGTGAGTGTGAGCGTGTGTGGGTGTGGATGGGTATGGCTAACGGCGTGCGTGCCAATCTGGATGTCCGTGTGCATGTGGGATGTCGATTTGCGATCTGGGTGTCGATGTTGGAAGACTATACCAACACCCGTTCCCCCACCCACACTCTCCAGTGTCACATGATATTCTTTGCGAGCAGTTAGTACAATGGATGAGTCGTCTCTAGTTTATTGACTTGCTGTCAGCATATAGTTCCGCGGTGCTAACGCTGTACGTCATGATTTAGACGCATTGGTTGGTGAGCTAAATTATTTGATCGACCATCTTACGGATTCCTATAGAAGTTTTAATATGTTACTGGCATTCTCATAATTTGCTGTATCGCTTGAAATTTTCGCTAATATCCTTTTTGATGGACGATTGACTGCAGCTTTTGTGCCGTTTCTATCACTCATGTTTGTGAGAGTACGACTTTTTCGTTCTGCACTTGAGTGATTCACATGCTACTTGAAGATTTCAGCTCTCACTCTGATGAATTTCTCGATTCTCCAAAGCTTTTATGTGTTATTTCTATGAATTGTTCTGTGACCCTAAGGTTCTCACCATCACTCTAACAAAGTGATAAAACGATCGAAATTTCACAACCTATCTTCGAAACATTAACATGCAGCTCAAAGCTTTTCCATTTGAGTTCTGCTCATTATTGATTGATCGAAGCTGTTTCGTCTACAGTTTGACACATTGTCGTATGGCTTAAAGTGATTGGTACTTAAAACTTCACACATCTCAGAGTGGCGAAAGTCCTCTCTCTCTAATTCCATTACATCGATAAGTGAAGAGAAGCTTTCTGCTCTTACTGTTAAGAATTTTGTTGTGATTGAAAGCTTTTTGGTCCTTATGGTCAGGTATGGTTCTCTGGCTGACACTATTTGAACTTCATCGGTGCAGATTGGCTTGTGACTAGAAGATTTTCCACTATTACTCTTAGCCATATCCAAATTTATTCTTGCGTTTGTGTGCCTTTTATGCATAGTCTCATTAAAGTCGTAGTTACATTAGACAGGTTGTCATATCTTATCTCGTTAATAACTCAAATTGAGCAATAAAGTGGGAGAAAAAAGAAGTAGACTATTCATAGTACCTTGACGCTAATCATATAACGTTCAGAATAGGTTTTTTCTGCTTTTCAAATCTTCTTAATAATTTACTCACTACAATCAAGCAATTGAAGCCGAAATGTTCCGAGTAAAGTTGCTAATATGTTGTTGTTGATAGAGTGTTTTGTGACTTACACCTTTGGCTTGTTTTTTTCGAGTGGTTCGAGTCTCATTTTTGGAGTATGTCAAATATTGATCTTCCGTTTCTGCCTGTGTTTGCCTCTTTTTTTTTGTCTTTTTACAACTCTTATCAAATAAGCACTTGATGAAGAAGATTGCACATGACAGCAATACAATATTTACAGGAAGAGCGAACGATGAGTGATGGCAAAGAAGAAAAAAACATTTATTCAACGAGATTCATTTTATATGGAGTACGCAGATCAATATTTATTTCAGTATGATTCGAGACGGTTGAAATTGTTTAAAACTAGACAATGAATAGCAATAAAGCATTTCATTACATCTATACTATAGAAAAATATCACATAAAATTTATTTTTTGTGCCTTTATGTTCACTAGCAAATGATAAATGACAATGATAAAGCATAGGGAATATTTTTAATAGAACACAATTGATAGGTATAAATGAAGATATTTCTAGAGTGAATACCCGAAATTTTCAAATGAAAATAAAAAAAAGAATAACTCTTTTTCTACAAAAGTAATAACTAATGTTAGAGTATGTCAAAGGTAGTGGCAGTAGCATTATACTATATTATAGAACACTTTGAGAAAGTTCTCTCTTTCTCTATATGTATACTGATACTTCAAACAATACTCTCTAGCTCTATAATACTTCACCATTCTTCATTTTTTATGATCATATTAGAATTTCGATCATAGTTGTTCACCACTGATGTTGGTACATAAGGGAAATTTTCTTTTCTGCATTTAAGTTCATTCTGTACTATATATTTTTTCTCGGTAGCCAGGCTCCACTTCTCAAAACACTCGAAAAATCATATGAGTAGCTTTGTGAAGATCGAGAAAATGTTGAAGATGGAGCACGATTTGGCGTACTATCATCGAACAATATCCATCTATTGCTTTATTAATGATGATCCTCACAGTACAACTAACGAATTGCAAGCATAAACTAATTCGAATAGTGGCGGTATCCAACAAATAGTCCTCAATCGTCGTAACATTAAAAAGATTACAGTTAGTCATATATCGTAACAATTAATCTTGAAGGGATGGAGCGTGGGTGTGGGTTCTACTCTCATATTCTATCACACCCACATCCGATGTCGCATGAAATTGCTTTTTAAAATGTATTTTCACAATGACTTAAAAGTTCAAACGGCGTTTCTTTTTTTTGAAAATTGTTTTTTTTTTCATTAGTCTAATGTATCATCATACTATTATCTATCTTCTGTTTGACTATTACTATAAAAAAAGTGGGTAAAACAATGAATCATTGTTATCAGTTGATATTATACAACAACCTATTTCTCTTCTGTCTACCATCTTATGTAAGACATAACTCAGAAAAAACTATAAAAATTAATACTGAAAAGATTTTTTTATTATGAAAAGATAAATATACATTGTTTCGAACGTTTTCATGCTTTCTATAATGAGTGACAAATAAGGTATTATGAAATTTGAATTCTTACCAAATGAAATATTAATGAAATATTTCAAATATTTCAATGCATTTGATATTTTTCATTTATTTGATCAATTAAATTATCGATTTAACAATTTTATTCGTAATATTTCATTATATATTAATTTTCAAGATGTCCATAAATCAATATATAATCAATTTTGTATAAAATTGTTGTTAAATCCAAAATTAAAAAATCAAATTTATTCATTTCAAGTATTGGATGAAAATGAACATGTTCAGTGCAAATGTTTTTTGTCATTTTTTTCATTAGATGAGTTCTCAAATCTTCGAAAATTTAAATCAGGGTATGGGTGTGTGGGTGTAGGTGTGGGTGTGGATATGAGTGTGGGTGGGGTGTGGGTATGCGACTAGTCTTCATGCACACCCACACCTACGTCTCCTGAATCATCGGTCAAAAATGACTATTATTATTTTTCTAACATTATCGATCCGAATAGGAATATTAACAACGGTGGTAACCCTCTTCGCCGAAAAGTATTTCGTTGAAAGACTCGTAGGACGCTTGAAATTGTTGTGAGCCCTTTAATTCTTATATAGGCTTGTTCAGCATGAAGAGGCCAACTCATTTTGCTCTCACCTTTATCTTTGGGGCGCCCTTCGTGACCAAAAAATACTTTGACAAAGTATGTTTCGGCGAAGAGCATATATACCTATCGAACAGCGAAAACCATAGCTTGATATCCTGAAATGATGAAACATTTTTCGAAAAATGGTGGTTGGCAGTTTTTAAAAAATTGCACATTAGTGCTTGGTTCAACGGTGACAAAAACTAGATGACAGGAGGACTTATAGTATCTGATGAGTATAAGAAGATGATACTTACAGACAAAAGTTGCAAATATTTTTCTCGTTAAATTGTCTACTGAATCGACATTTAATCGGTATATTGCTTATATTATATAGAAATCTGAGTTGTAATTTTTGAATTAAAAAATAAATAGCGAAATGATATAGGCTTTTCTGCCAAAGCATATCCCATTTGAGAATCGAAATATTTCCTAGAAAGTAAAAACTCTGGTATGAATACTTGTGTCTCTAACTTGATAATTTTACTTCTGTACTGTAGATATTACCAATTAATAGAGACATCTGTCGGATAATTACATAAAACTTCTATTGGTCTCAGAAACGAAAAGATAAGGACAGGCACTTTCAGTATTTTTTTTTCATTTTTCTTATCTCAATTATGGCGAGTATGCAGAATATACCTAAAACTATGAAAGCTATTCTTTTACATGAATATGGTGGTAGTTATCGTTTTCATGATGCTATTCCTGTACCATCACATTTGGATGATTATGATGTTTTAATTGCTATAAAAAGTGCTGGTTTTTGTCATACAGAAATGCTTGTACGTGATGGAATAATTAAAGCAAAACAATTACCTCTTATACCATCACATGAACCAACTGGTATTATTGTTGCGATGGGTACAAAAGTTAGTCATGAATTTGAACTTGGTGATCGTGTTGGTGCACTAGGTTGCAATCATGCATGCGATCAATGTCCTGATTGTTTAAATGATCAACCATTATATTGTGATGAATACTGTGCTACTGGTATTACAATTAATGGTGCTTTTGCTGAATATCAAAAAGCTGATTCACGTTGGCTTGTATCATTACCAGATGAAATATCATTTGAACAAGCTGCACCATTAATGTGTGCAGGTGCAACAGCTTTTAATGCTATTGAAAAATGTGCTTTGAAAAAAGGAGAAATTTTAGCAATTATTGGTCTTGGAGCATTAGGACATTTAGCCGTACAATTTGCTAAATGTATGGGATTCAAAGTTATTGCTATTGATAATCGTCAAGAACCATTAGAACTTGTTCAAAGATTAAGATATTCACCAGATTTAACTATTGATTCGAGTAAAACAGATGCAGAAAATGCTATTAAACAAATTAATACACTTCATTCATCAACAAAATATAATTATCCAGGTGCTGATGCAACACTTGTTCTTACTGAACCTATCTCAGCTTTTAAATATGCATTAGCTATTACAAAAAAACATGGTACAATGATGGCTGTTGGAGTACCACGAGAACCAATACCAATTGAATTTTATGATTTAATTTTTCGTGATATAACTGTTAAAGGAAGTCTTTTAGCAAGTATTGAAAGTGCTCGACGTATGGTGAAATTTGTTGCTCAACATGGAATTAAAAGTGAAATAAAAATTTATTCATTAGAAGAAGTACCAAATAAAATGTTAGAAGATTTTCATAGTCCAAATGTGAAAGGAAAATTAGTTGTTAATGTCTCTTCATA